CATTTCTGGTCTGCAACATAAGACAAACAAATCAGTTAGATAAACCAGGAAGATATAATGTCTACTGAAAAAATATCTTCCAATAAAACTTTTAATTCACATGTACCATCTAGTTCTCTGACATTGGGTCCTAGGTGCGATGTTGCAATAAAAGACAGAAGGCAAGCCAGTCCAAATACCAATGAACAAGCAAAAGTTCATGTCTAGGTCTCAAAACAACATCCAACGGACTAATATTCATCTAAGTAATTGAAAGATACCTTCCAGTTTGTTTAAGCATATCTAGCATATTAGTCTGGAAAACATGATCAACGGCTTCAACACTGACACCAGTGCCACTCTGAGGCATCGCAAAGACATCAACAACACGTACTGTGTACTCATCCACAAACTCTCCCAGCATCAAGCCCATCACTTCCATGGGAACTCCAGCCCTCCCTGTAATTTACATCAATCAAAAGAAGTAACACCATTAGACAACCATAGTGAAAGATTGAGAGTCCCTCAAATCTGTAAACTGCAAAAGACTTAAAGCAAACTCTAGAAACATCAACAGAATCCTCATCTTGAAATTGAATTGTTTTTAGAGGAAACATATGCCAAAAAAAAAGGAAAAAAAGAAAAGAAAAGAGAACTTGGGTCAATATTAGAGGAAAACTGTGACTGAGATCCAAGCAAGCAATAGTTAACTCAATCAAAATTGGGCTTGAAAGTACAATTTGAATTGTAAAACTACCCAATTTTAAAAAGTTGCAAGTACAATAGAACAAGCAGGATGCAAATTCGAGCTTTGGCATTGCCCAGAAAAGGAAAAGGTGAAAAAAAAACATAGAACAGTGAAAACCTAATAATCAACACAAATCCCCCAACAATGAAACAAACCAAAAACTGAAATCTATAGAAATTAACGTTAAGACAGAGACGCTCAGATGTATTCAAAGGAATGGAGTAAGGAGGAAGAAGAGAGATAGAGATAGAAAAAGTACCGTGCTTGAGCATTTTGAGGAGAGCGAGAGAGGAGATGTAGACCTGCTCCGATGAATCAAGAGTCAGCCAATCCGGCGGTGGGTGGCCACCCAAAGCGCCTCCAGCACCGGCAAACATCCACTGCAATCTCTCCATCCCTGACATTAGCTCGGACTCTCAAGATCGCCGATCGGAGTTTTCAGCGGTTTTCCTTGGCAGCAAGACAGACGACGATTATGCTCGGAGTTCGATTGATGTATCTGTCCTTGCCCTATTAATAAGTTGAGGGCCTCAGGCTATAAAACGGCTTTTTATTATGTGGTCTGGCCCAGTTAAATTATTTGGGCCTTTTTACAAACTTAGCCCGTATAAGAGGGCTTGTTACGCTTGTTACCCTTTTGGGCCTTCTCCAATTTTTTTTTTCTTGAGCTTATGAACAAGGCCTAA